AAAAAACTCGTAATAACATTCTGCTAGCGTTGGCATCAGCAGATAATGTCTTTGAGATTTTCTGCATGTTATGAATAGAATGAGGATCAGAAAAGTAAAATAACTACTACTTAAAAAATAAACGTATCCAGACAGGCCGTAGCAAAGTAGGCCCAGGTAGTATCTCATCATGAGCTCAACATCACACTAAAAACAAGTCTGCACTAAATTAGAACAAGAATAACTGGAGTAGCACCCACAAATAGAGAAGAAAAGTGCAGTGGTCTGGTGTCATGAAATGAGGAAATGCTTGGATGAGAAATAGCAAGAGAGGGAAAGATGTAAGAAAGAAATAGACTTCACAGACAGAGAAACATCACAGGGAGAGAGTGCAACTCACATACAACAGAGGAAGAGAGCATGTGTCAAGGATCTAGAAGGAAACAGAAAATATATTTTCCCCCCTTCGGATGACACTCAGATCTAATTCAGTCATTTGTCAGCCACACAGGCAGTATGGCTGGCTAATGGACTAGGACGGCATGAGAGACACAAGCTCAGGGAATCCCTCCGTTGTTATCTGCAGCAGACATTATCAGACCTACTTACTGAGAGCTGGCAGACCTGACACCAGGAATGGCCAAAACTGATCGGGGACAGTAATTTGAGGGTTAGAGGGAATAAAAGATTACTGTAATTGTGTGACTTGATAACCAAAAATTACCTTACCCTTGAACATAGCACTTAACCCAGAGACTGCTTCAGTAGAACTGCTTGGGGGTCACCAACAAGAAGTCTGTGGTTATACTGGGCAGTTTCCATGTTAGATTAGATTGTGTGAAACCTAAGAACGTAAAGAATAACCCATACAACAGTTGGAGATGTGGCTACATAAATTTTCCTCCTATGATATACTAGCTTATATTACCTACAAGCTAATGGTAAGGTGTGGTTTTATATGGTGGTCAGCTGGTTGCCCCAAATCACACACATCAGAAGGATCACACTTTTAACAGGAATATACTTGGAATATAGAATATATTGTAAAATAAAAGCACAGTTATTACGGAGACACAGGATTACATCTTGGAATTTTTTTTAAGAATTCAGGCAACATGTGCGCTGACAGCAAAGTTACAGAGAGGAACAGTCAATCAGAAATCCTTACATAATAATAATAAATGAATGAACTCGAGTCACAGTTCCTCACATTGCACATCAAAATATAAAGGAATAGAAATGATAACAGGAAGTTGGTAAATAGAATATAAAGAAGTATATAATCTAAAATTAAATGTAAAAATAAGTATGGGAAATCTACTGTATTTTAGTGTGCTATATGACAGGATTGTAATGATAAATAGTATTAATGAGTACAGATCGTGTTGAGGTGGAATGTAATAAAAATCCTTAAACATTGCAGTCTTGGACAGAGTATTCCACAGAAGTTAGCTGCTAATGCTAAGGATGTAATGAGTAATTCCTCCAGGTTACTGTAGCAATGTACTTTTTTATTTAAAGGAACATGCCCATTCATTGTTAATGAAAAAAACACATTCAGAAGGATGACACAGACTAATCAAGATTCTCGGTCTCAAGGATTCCTGATTCAGTATTTAAAAATTTGAGGAAATAGCTGATTTTATTTTTTATTGAAAAATAATATCAGATACTAATTGTGGGGCTAAAGTGAAGCATATAGAACTGGCTTTGAGTTGCAGTGTACTGTATCGGATCATGGGCTGTGTAGAGACTGAATTTCTTGAGAGGGAGAGATACACTCCTAGTGAAAATGCATGTATGTGAAAGATACATGCATGTGCCAGAAAAATACATTAGCTAGTGCTACTACAAAACCTTGCAGGGAGGTTACAGATACTTTAAAAATATAAATTAATCCTTGAGACACAGATGAAGTGTTTAAAATCTTAAATCAGTAATGTACGCTGCTGTTTAATTAGCAGGAAAACTGTTAGATCATAATTTGTGATATAGAAGAGAAGGTCCCCTCGTGACATTAGTGCCTTATAAGCCAATGTAACTTTTTTGCTAAGACCTCTACAACCTTCTCCTGTTGCATGACTTCCACTCTTCTACTTCCTACATCTCTTTTATAATTGCTGTAATGCTCTAGTGTCTAGTGGGATATTACCAATGTAGGAAGACAGAATAATATTGTATCAAAGTTAAGAATTCAGCCTTGATACATTTTATTTTACAGATAAAGCACAGGTGTGACTGCTTGGATTTACAATCAAAAGCAGTGTCGATTTATGGCACAGAAAAGGCTGACTGATGCACTGATATTTTCAGGCATGATGTAGCTAGTTGAACTGGAATACCTCATGTCGCTTAATTCACAGCTGAATTCAATGCTGTGGGAACCGATTGTCTTTTCCCCCTGTGGCATAGCAGCGAGCATGAAAAGGAGTGCAGAGTGCTATCACTGTAGGCTGCTTTTCTGAGTGCCATTGACACAGCGAGGAGCAATGGGAACTCTGTCTTGCGCACAACCAAACAGTCAATACAGGATACTGAAGGCACTTGTGGGTTTATCATACCTTTTGACACAGGTGCTTTTCTCTCTCCATGGAGATGTGGAAAGCGCTGACGAACAAAAGGCTTAGTGAATCATGAACAATGCTCTCTATATAAGTTATCTTTGTATTGTCCATGTTAACTCATATGTGACATATTAAGTCCTTTTGGACATGAAATTTCTTCCAAGCAGCATCAGACTATTAAGCAGACAGAGTAAGCAGATGACATGACATAAAAGCAGTCGATGTGAGCCACATGAAACCACAATATAACAAATTATGATACTGCTGAATTATGTGTTTAATCAAATGTCATCTATTATTTAGTTTGGCCAACTTTTAAAGAAGGAAGTTGTTTTTCTTTATGTATAAAAATGAAGGCAGAAAATGGCAGTGTGAAGGGGTGTTGACTGGCAAAAACTTTAAAAGAAATGCTTAGTAATTTCAACTACAAGACCAGAAAGATGTCTTTATCATGTTTCCCACCCGGTGGGCAGACAAGGTAGATCTGTTCAGTTTACCGTGTACAATTGCTCAGTTTCTCGCATTTCATGCATCTTATGTGTCCACTAATTCAGTTTTGCACCATATCTTGCCAAGTCTGTCATTGTTTAAAAAAATATTTCTACCTCTATTAAAGTTCAGCCTTGATTAGTTGAGTAGTTGTGTACATGTGTCATCAACAATTGGGACAATTCAAGGCTCACAATCTATGCTGTGCTGAAGGGAGTGAAGCACATAATACAAAGAGACACAAGTGAACAGCCTGAGTGAGTTTAATACAAATGTAGCTTGTATTCACCTTCCTGAACCCTCCAAAATGCTGAATCCAATGTTCTAAGAGCGCTCTTTTCCTCTTATGAGTTATAGGGATCAATAAAAGACAGTAGCACAGAATTGTTTGTAATTCAGTTCAGCAGATTCCTAATCATTGTCTTCAATAAAATAATAATACGTAGGCCTACTGTCACGGCTGTCGCTGTCACCTTTGTGTTTCCCCTTTTCCCTGTCTCACCTCTACCAAGTAGGCTGTGTCCCTGGGGAATGAAGACCCGCCTACTTCCTGGTTTCTGGGGTGCTGACATCTGTACCGCCCATTGGTTCCCTCTGTTTTCCACTCAACCAATGGCTCGTCACCATGTTAATTACCTCCGGCTCATAAGGAGAGTCCACCTGTTGCTCCAGGCAGCTTGTCACCGCCTGTTGACTTGTGTGCCGCTGGTATTGACTGCATAGCCTGTCTGTTAGTTGTACTTTGTGTTTAGTGGAACTATCCACCTTCCTTGCTTATTAGCTGTACATTGTGTTTAGGGAAACATTTGCATACCTTTGTATGTTAGCTCCACATTGGGTGCAGTGGAGAAATTCACTTATTGTTTTGTTTACTATTGTGTTAGTTTTCACCAGGTGAAGTGGGTGCTGTGCTCTTTGTGTTCTTTTGTAGCAAGAATCAACTCTGCTTAAAACGATAGATAGGTACAGGCCTCCTTTTGAGGACCTTTTTATTTGAACTTGGTTTGTTATTTTCGCAGCACCCTCGTCCACCCTCCTTTTGTTTTTTTTGTTACCTGTCTACATCTCTTCTGTTACCAATAAAATTACCTTGTTAAGATCTACCAGTTGTGCCTATATGTTTATGGCCCCCACACCCCTAGACCAACAGGGGGTCGTAACACTACATTAAAAAAACAAAAAAAATCAATGTGTAGTCAATTGTCTTGGATTTGTACCCTTACACGGCAGCAGGAGGAAAAACATCTGTCCCCGTGGTTTCACAACATTTCCACTTGGGGCGCTGTGCAGCACATCTGGAGTTGATGACCACTGCCAAGAAGCTTCAAAGAACCTGGCATCCTTTGATGCCCAATCACATTGTCTGTACCCGCCAAGAAACATCCTGTTTTTTGGCATCAGGTGCCCCAACAGACATGCCAAGAGAATGCATTCACAGCTGGGAGCGCGTGAGAGGTAGCCCCAAAAGCAAGGGGTGGATGTCATGGTGCTTGTTAGCTGATATTATTAAATGTATTCACATTTCTGACTATAGATGTTAGCATCAAAATAAGGTGAAACAACGTTGTCCTACTCTCACTGTTCTTGATTAAATTTGATCAAACTGTCCTTTAGAAAGACAACAATTTTAAAGCTGAGTGAGTGAAATTTGTAAGACTGACATAATTGCATTTGGAGTGGCCTTTGTTTTAAATTTTGTCTGGATGAGAAACGCACAGGAATATAAGTTCCTCTGCTTGTGAAACACATTTTAAACAGGAATGTGACCCCTGCTGTCTCCAGATACACTAAGCAAAATGGCTGAAGGACATTGAAACGAAACTACACTGATCATGTTCTGACTGATGGTAAACTTTATGGTGGGAGTAAATATGTGTGTTTTATTCTTATCGAATTATTGATGTTTTATTGTATTTGCTTTCAAATTGCAATGTTTTAATTCACAACTGCCTGTTAATATTTTATTAGATCAACCTGCACAGCTGAGACACCTTAACACTGGAGAAAGAGGATGAAGAACCCCTGACACCTGCAGTTGCAACAGGAAAGCAGCACCTAACATGTCTTCTGTCAAGGTACAGTGTGTAAACTTCTTTTTTCATTCTTGTTACAAGATCATAGAAATTTTTATTTGTGAAATGCTAAAATGTAGAGTAACAGTACTACAAATAGTCCTAGTTAGTGAAAAGCTTCAGTTACATCGCATACACATCTAGGTAACATTAGCTAATATTAGACACTTGTTGACCATGTACAATGCAGCAGCACAACACTTTTATTGAATTAAGAAAGGATTATGTTATTGCTTACAAATGAAACTTTACATTCGTTTGAGAAAGACCATATTCAACAGTTACACTTTAACTGAATGAAATAGTGTGGCCCTAACTCATTTTGAAAGTACAGAAGAGAGTTTGATAAGAATAGCAATACCACTCTTGTGTTTGAATAAGAAGCTAAATATACAGCTAGCAGCTGGCTAGCTTAGCTTAGCTTAGCATGAAGACAGGAAGCAGGGGGAGCTAGCCTGACTGTCAATAACTGTCAATAACAACAATCAGGTTATATCTTGTATTTTAATCAATACAAAAACTAAAATGTAAAAACAGCAAGTTGTGGATTTACAGGGGGGTTATATGCTGAACTATTTCTTGTCAGCTCATAGTCCAGAACATAAAACCACAACTGTTTCCAGTCTTTATGCTAAGCTAAACTAATAGGCTGCTGGCTGTGCAGTAGCTTCATATTTACCATACAGGCATGACTGTCATCAGTCTTCTTATGTAACACTCTGCGAATACGTGTAATTTGATGTACTTTAAAAAGTTACTTAAATTTCGTTCTCAAGAGGAGTCTTGAACAAATTTCAAGAGTAGTGATTTCTGGCCAGTTATGGTCACTGTGTGGCCCCTGTTGTGTAAACCTGCGGGGGTTTTTCTGGCCACAGGATGAGTGTGTTTCATCATTACGTGTAGGTGTCTGAAAACAAGAAGTTTAAAAGTTATAGAATGATATATCATTACTTCATCAGATGCATGTGACCTCAATTCTGAAGAATGAGTTCTAGATAGCAGCTGCTATATTCGTCAATCATCTCTTTGGTGCTTTTTATGCTCTGCAGCAGCACCAGTGTTATGATAGGCTACTCTCATTTTGTTACGGTCAAGTGAATCTTTGTGAAGAGCATATAATCTATTTTCCAGCTCCCTTATTCCTTTGTGCGTGTGTGTCGTTATGTTCTGTTATGGATCGTAGTGGCGAGTATTCCATGAAACCCAGAGGAGCTCTGCCTCGGAGTGTTTCAGATGAATCACCTGGTAGGTGGCAGGGGGTTATTACAGAGGGAAAAACACAGAGATATAAAAAGTCTAAAAGAGATAAAGATGATTGATGCCTCTCCAGCGGGCACACGTGTGAAAACATGCCAATGACTCTATCACCTTTAGGTCCTCTCTCTTTCTTGCTCTGTCCGCTCTTTATTTCTTTCTTTTTCTTCCAATCTCACACAGTCACCCCACTGCTTTTTCACTTCATCTTTCCTCTCTTCACCTCCGGCATCTACGCTAATAAATCCCTTTTAAGCTCTCGTTGCGACCCCTCAATCATTGCCCGCGACCAGCTTAAAATAACACTGTGGGAACAGAGAGAATGGGACTAGTGTTTAGGAGCCCCCATGCCGATGTTATTAATTGTTGAAGAGATGAATATCCCATTACAGTCCGACTGAGGAATGGAGATGGAGCTGGGGTTATACCGTGATTAATGCTAAGTTCATGCAATGCATGATTAATTCTGAAGTGCGAGTGGGTGTTTAATCAAGGCCACATGCGATATGATCAATTATAGGGTGAAGAAAAAGAGCTGGATGATTAGACTACCTTTCAGAGTGTGGAACATATGTCACCCGAGGTTTAGTGGGTTCAGTCCTAATGTAGGATTACACTGGTGATAAAATTGAGGAATATAACCATGGAGGCTGGATTACACAGTTGCTTTGAAGAGATGGGGAGGGTTAAGCTATATTGGGCTCATCCAAGTGTGAGCTGCGTGTCTTCTCTACTTTGCAACGGGGAGAGCAGTATGAGTACACCACCTGGGGTACTATATCAAGTCACCTTCAGTGTGGAGTGTGTCACCTGCCTTGCTTTCTGTTCGAGACCAAATATTTCCCATTAAATATTGAATGTTCCTTTAGGCACAGGACTTACTGAGAATTAAGGGCCACTGCTAAATGTATAGAATGGAATAAAGTAGACTGTACTAATATGTGTTGTGTGTTCACAAGGGACCCTGTAGCATAGTCGCTGGTGACGTGAGAAATAAATTTTACGTTGTTCTTAGGACTCATTATATTATAACTCTGGGGAATAAGTCTTGGTCACAGTAATTATGGGTAAACAGCGATTACTAATAAAGGGTCCTGGTCTACAATAAACATTTGCAAATGTGTAGGTAAGAGTTTAACACACACCAATGGATGAGACAATAGGGATAAGGGGACATCTTTGATGCTATATACATTTGCGCTTCCTTTTGTCATCTCAGATGTAATTTGCCATTTGTTTTGCAGTTTACCATTTGCTATTATGTTTGTACTCGTTTGTATTTAAGGAGAGACAATGCTCAGGTCGAGAGAGAACTGTGATCTTTCTCTCCGTGGCCACTTATAAAGAATTGATTCATCACATCTTTGCCTCTGCACCGCTTCTTTCTCGAAGAAATTTTCTTTGACGTTTGTCGCATTTCATTTCCTCTTGCTCTCTCATGGCTAAACAATCTGAAAGAAAATAACTAAGTGCAATTTTACCAAACAATACATTTACATACAGTACACTTAAAATTGAATTACAATTAAAATAGTTCAAATTGGTCCACTTTTAATAGGATATTACAGTAGAGTGAGTGTGTGTGTGTGTGTGTGTGTGTGTGTAAAGGGGGGGGGGGGGGGGGGGGATTAACAGGGTAAACATAGATGGTTTACTACCCAAGTATCCTGACATGACCATGTGCCTTCACTTCAGCTCAGAGAAAATAACAAAGCATATTTCTAGACTTTAATTAGTCCAAAACCAACAAAAACAAAGGCTGTATGGGGAAAGGGACACAGCATCCTGTGATTAGAGTAAGGCTGCTATCTGTACATCCCCAGATGCAAAGTTTCCAGTAAATCCAGTGTTTTCTTTACTTTGTTGAAACAGTTTCGTGGGCAGGCTGTGGACGGACGTCGTCTGAAACATCACCCATAATTAACAATGTGTAATAAAACCACCACAAAGTTTTAACCAGCCCATACGTGTGACTGTAGGGCTGTATATTTTTAAGTCTTTTTTTTTATAGTTATAGCAGTATAAATATCCCCCGATCATATTTTCAGATTTAACGATCGCAAATGTAGTACAGCTGTTTCTTCTAAACATTAATTTGCATGTGAACATATGCAGGTCAGTCCCCCTACTGAAAATACATTCCTGCACGCGTGATTTTGATATTCCAAAGTAGTGTTTTATGCATTAGTAACAGCTGCACAATTTTTCATATATGGTAATAATAACAAATGGATGGTAAGTCATGTCTGATAATGTTTTGATATTGGACTGACGGTTCCTAAAAGTACTGTTGACAGCTCTGCACTGTAGCTGCTTGAGCAAAAGCTATCGATGACAGGACAGATCCTACAGCTCCTGATTCAGAGCTTTAAAGTAAACTGAGAGATTCTGGCAGCTCTGTTTACCTGCTGTCTTGAAACTGACGCAAGGCAATAATCTGGATTGTTTATGTAGAGACAGACTGTTTCTTTGAACAACAAAAAGAGGCTGTCCACTTACTTTTTCAAACATCAAAAGTACACACATGTTTCTTCTTCACCAAAGCCAACCGTAAATAGTACAGATGCAGGCTGCAGAGAGAGGGAGCTCATTCACATGCAAAAAGTTTTGTGGTCTTTTGCTAGCTAGCAGAATTAACATTAATTAACTAGAGCGGAGTAAATTTGCTAGCGATATTTTTCATTCAAGCCAATTGACTTTGACTATCACTTGCGACAGCTGGTTGAGATATTGGTCAATAAGTCATAATTGAAAAAAATATTGTTCAGCCCTTCTCTCTCCCCATCGTGAGCAATATACAATCCTGAATCAAATTCCTCGTATGTGTATACATACCTGGCAATAAAACTGATTCTGATGTCTGTGGACAGTCTTTATAATTGATGAATAATTTTGGAGTATTAATTCTTCTTCAATTTAAAGCCTTAATTTGTTATAATGTCTAAATTTAAAGTGATTACAGCACAGTCAAACATTTCCAACTTTTTACACAATTTTACTAAGTTAAAATAAATTCATGCAAGTTGAACCAAGCAATGCATATTAAACTTCTGAAAGACAAGAACCTGCAAAAGCTATATCAAAAAGACAAAACTTGCATTTCCTTTCCATTTAGAGTGGGTTCACAGCTAAAGTTCTGGTTCCTGAATCAAACCAATGCATGGATGATACAGTGTTTAAATTTTCCCTTTGGTCTAGTTGGTCTGAGGTCACAAAGGCAAAAACTCAAATGGTTAACAAAAGCCATGTGGTGTATATGGCAATTGGTTATTGGCCGTACAGTCAACAACAACAAACACCTCCCAGATTTCTACCTGGATATCGTAACTCATGGAGCACCATCAGGTTCATGTTGGTGTTGTTCTGGAGCGCATATCAGCAGACTGAAACAGTGAAAACGAGTCTGTCCTCCACAGAAAAACAACCACATACTTTGTTTTAGCCACACAAAATTACTGCTCATGTTTACTTTTATTGTGGCAGTGACCTTTAGTGGCCCTACAACACAAACACATGACAAAGATAGTCATAAGTCACAAGCGTTGGCTAACTATATAAGTCTTAAAGGCCCCCCGTAGCCCCTTACCCTCATCCTAACCTTCACAGCAGTGTGTGCCTAAACCTAAGTCAGTGATTGTATATGCATGTGAACCTAGCAGCTGGAGTTCACCTCCTTTGTGTCACTGCAGTCTTCACTTTTATTTCATGTGACGTAAGTCACGTAATTTCAGAAATGAAGGTCTGGTCGG